ATAAAAAAACATTTAGACAATTAATTTGTCTCGAATACATGGAGTCTCTTTGAAAGCTCTGCGGGTTGTCTACGATAGTATCAAAATTTTCTAGTATGCAAATATAACAGTACAAGGAAACTGACAAAAGTATCAAAATACTCGACTTCCTATTTTTGGAGAGAGAGGATTGAAAATGAATTTCAATACTAGAATTGATAGGCACTTTGAGTGAAGTGCTTTAGGTTAGTCTTTCGAATTCCAAGCCAGCTTTATAATTAGAACATTGGTGGTGATCAAACCCAAAGAAAGTATTGTCATTGTCGTACACAGCTTGTTCACAGAAAGTCATTGTTGTGTGAAACCAATATTAGCTGCGATTTTCCTAGGTCGAGCTCAAAAGAAGGATAATTGTTGGAAAACCCTCAAAAACAGTGGCAGATTATCTCATAGGCCATCGAGTGCTCCACTTTTACTTTAGAATCTTGTATGGTTTATTATCTTTTGACTTGCAAAGCATCACAAGTAAACGAATAAAGGCGAACAATGATGAATAAAAAAGATTTCAGCTGAAGCAAAGTTTCTCTTACATAAAATATCGTCACTTAACCGGACCACGTGCTTCGCTAAAGTTCAGCGCACTTGATCTTACTGTTACAAGATTATCTAGCTTTCAACTGGACTATAGCTACTTAAAGACAATTTTAACAAAATAGCAGCGATAATAACGGTATATTTATTATAAGCCGTTTGTTCTATTGTTAAAAAAATTCCTGACTGTTGATCTCCTTTTAAGAAACAAGTCAGCAATGACGACATCGTCCCTTTGGTCTCACGGAGTCAACTCGACTACAATGCGTGTTRTGACCTCGACTAGTGGTTTCTCTGGTTACTGGTTTTGAAACCAGTTTTTAATGACTGCTTGATAGATAGATTCAAAGGTCCTTTGGATAATAAATTGAGTACATTGCGAAAGAAAATTCATCTCAATCACAATTAGCGTGGTTTGGAAATAATTTTCGTTCTAGAGAGGTTCACAGTGYGGTTAGTAAAAAAATGAGCTTGGGTATATATTTTAGAGGTATTAATAATATATATATATTATATGTTAACTATCTTCGAGTCTTGTTGATGCTACCATTTCAAAAATATCGGCAAAGTGCAGAGCAGGGCCTATTAAAGCATTGTGAAACCCTTGTGAATTGTATGTATATTTGTAATTTTTGAATAATCGATATCTTAAAAAAAAGTTGAGATTTCACGTCAGCAGAACTTATCAGCGCAACTTCTAAATTTTTCTCCCTCAATTTTCTGACGAACATTCCAACTTCCCTTTTCATTCTACAGTTATATAGCAGTAATGACTTTTATTGCTTTCACCTGAAAAAGATCATTGCGTAATCAGTTTTTCCATCTTACATAGGTTGCCTTTTAACTTAATATTGAGCGCGATTATTTTTACAACTTTCTACGTGGATTATTATTTCTTGACGACGAGGTTCTTTACCGACGATATGGTGAATATAAGCAAGATCGTAGATAGGTGGAATTTCGTCAAGGTCCACCAAAATCAGTTATTCTTCCGGAARCAATTGATTGTTTATTTGATGTAAATAATGTAATATATAAGGATGCCTCTCGGATGATGGATGGTTGCAAAGTGTTGTAACGGTACCAAAAAACAAATCAGAAAGAACGTGTGCTTCAATTTRAAACTACATATTTCTTTCTAGGCCGTCGTGTCGTGTAACTTTATATTAATGTAACCTATATAAATTTCCGACAACTTAGGAGAAGAATTCCAGATTGATTGACTTACAATTAAAGCGTGGTTATGTATATAATGATGGATTGGAGATCATTTACTGAGGTCCTGCGATATCTTGAAAAGTGCTCTCAATTGCGACTGGCACAGAGTTTTGGCGAGTAGTTTCCACATCCAACTTTTGCTACTTAATTATATTTATGCATAGATTGAACACATTTTTTGTGGCAAATAAAGATATATTTTTTTAATTTAAATTAACACTCTAAGTTGGTGTTTAATAAGCTTAGCTCAGTGCGTCGATATTTATGTAGATCTAAAAATAATAAATAATCACTCATACCATATGGTGTACTTGCGGCATCAGATGATATTGTGAAAGCTACTTTCTATGAAATTTCAAAGACCATGCTTTTAACTAGAACCATGTTTTAGTTTAGGCTAACTTTAGCTTATGTTTTAAAGCCATTGGCCGCCGATTTCAAACATTTATTTTAATTTCTCAGTACACTTCAGTTACATTTTCATATTATTGCCTCAAAATAGTGATCGATGGCCAGCGTTCAAGTGAAGCCCTTGTAAACTCATCTATATTATCCATTTCTGGAGTCACTGCTTTATTGACCTCGTTCGTAGTTTATTAGAGCATTAAGGGGGTATCTACTCCAGAATTTTGAAAAATTCGTTTTTTTTGTTTGCATATATTTAAATTTTGGACCCTTACGAATATATCCTCCAAAGGATTTTTATAAATTAAAATTATTTACCCCGGTAGGTAGGTAGACTCACTTTT